CCTCTGCTTTTTTTTTTTTTTTTTTTTAACCTTTTGGAGACTATACAAGAAAAAAATAGTTCCATGGGAAAAAGCTGTTTCATCCCTTGTCAAGGAAGCACTCTGGACTAACTGGCTATTCTCCCATTCCTTCTATCATATTCAGGATCATTTCAGTAGATTAAGCCCCTTATTATTCCCTAGGAGCCAAGCCTCCCTGGCTGGTGCAGGATGAAGAGGAGGCTGGAAACAAACAGCAGATTGGGCCTTCGTATGAAGAGTTTCTCAAAGAAAGTGAGTTTGGACATCACTGCTTGGACTGGTGGAGGAAAAGTTCTAGTTTTTAAACTCTTCACTTCCTTTAAAAATAAAGCATTGTAAATTGAGTAAAAGTTTTACGAAGGAGCCAGATTATCATGTGCATGACTTACTCTTATTCTCAAGGTAGATAAGGTTTACAGAATGCTGCCTTATAGACCGGGGTGTAGGCTCCTTCCCCCCCCCCCCCCAATAATTCTGGCACAGAATTTCAGCTAGAGATTCAGTGAACTTTGAGGCAAAAACAGCACTCAGAAAAATAACACAACAAACAGAAGTGTAATTAGTTCTGTTCCATTGGTAGAGGAGAAGCAGAAGCTGAAAAAGCTTCCAGCAGAGCGCGTTGGTGCCAACTTTGACCACACATCTCAGACAGGGGAAGGCTGGCTTCCCTCCTTTGGGCGGGTCTGGAATCATGGCAGGAGATGGCAGTCAAGGTAAGTGACCTGACACAGAGTTCACATGCAAGTCCCTTTTCACTTGTACCCTGCTGCATTTGGCTAGCACTTATCCTTAAGCCTGCAGGCTCCTACTCCATGAGTACCAGTCTCCAATGTATTCTGTGTAAATTGGCAGAAGCAAAGAGAAAACTTGTATTAGACTGCACTGCTAGCAGGTACCCAACCACTCTCACTCCCACCCCAAAAGTTTATTTGTGGGAGGTGAAGCCAGTCATTATTAGTTTTCTGTATTGCTGCTCACCTCAGACTTCCTCCTTAAAGCAGCTATTCACCTTGTTCCTTCCTTTAAAACTAACTTGTCTTTTTTCAGACATCAGTTTAAAGCTGAAGCAGGGAAAAAGAGAGAGACACAGAGGAGGAACACAAGACCAAAATCCGAGGTTCTTTAAAGCGATGCTGGCAAAGTGTATAGTATGATGTACCAGTCACACTTGGTCTTTGTTTCCATTGCATAAACTATATTAAACTTGCACATAAATACATCCTGTCTTACCGCTTATTTAAACACTACTTCATGAAACTTGTTGGTAGCCTGTCCTCTAGCCTAGGAAAAGTGGCCCAAGCTTCCAGCAGAAGGCTCAGGCCAGCTGTTTGAAAAGGGTACACATATAGCCTACCACTATCACAGAAATTCAGCTTTGTTGTAGTACCTTTCTCCTATGCATGTAGCTTATTGCACTGTGCAGGTGCCAAGTCAGAGACCTCCCTTTAGTGGGGAATAGAAAACCAACTTAGCTAGGCTACATGCAATGCCTTTACAGCAGAGAAGCTTGCTCAGGCCCATGATCCTGGCAGAAAATAGCCAGAGTTACAGTGGTTGTGATGGAGCTTAGAACCCCTTGCCTTTAAGAACAGCATGTACAGCTCTCTGAAGGCACAAGCCACCACGGAGGAAGGTTTAGCTGTGCATTTCCTCCCCTCCACTATCATTTCTTTCTCCCCCTCCCACTATCTGTTTGTGAAGAAATTGCTCAAACAGTACAGCTGTATCTACTCTTGTAGGAGCACTTCCTAAACATCCCCCTTCCTCACAGGCAGCGAGCTTTTCAACTTTCTGGTAGGACTCCCTCTTAGTTTTCTTACAAGCTGTCACAGCTCACTGTGCAAGCTTCTGCACCATTTCCTGGGGGGGAAAAAAAAAAGCAGTTGTTATTCCTGCCACAAGCTCTTCCCCTGCCAAGAGCAGGGCAGCAGGCCAGAGCAGCATATTAAGCTGCTGTGGGGTAGGATTGTGTCTGCCCATTAGCTGCATTGCTTCTTCCCCACACGTATGAAACAGCCCTATCTTCCTCAGTAGCCCAGTGATCTTTTTCTTTTAAGCATGACCAAAACCACTTCAGTGTGTGACAATGCCAGATAGCTTTGGGTTGGAGTCCATCACGCTTGACAGCGACACCGAAGTAAAACATAGTGGACAACGGGAGGCATTTAAGGATACGGATATAGTTCATTCGGATTCTAGAGATTAAAAAAAATCCTCTATTTAGCTGGATAGCTCTATCCCTTTTCCTACAGCTATGCAATGTAATACCTCTCTTCTTTAGTTATACCGTTAGCCTTCCTAGGGCTGTTTGAATCAATTTGTAGCAGTACTCTTTGAACCAAGGTTTACATTCTCTTCTATGTAACTGCAATCAGAACAGGCAGAACACCACTTCTAAGCCCACATTTCCCAAGCTTTGAATCTCAAAACCCATAGCCTCTGGCATGGGGGAGAATAAGTCTAAGAATGAAGCTTTGTTTATAAATATATACAGCTGTTTAAAATGCAAGTTATCAGTAACAGATATTATAAACTTGCTGCAATACAAAGTTTTCTTTTCTGGTTTTAGAGTAGGTGAAACTTTGTGGATACTTGTCAGAATTTACAACTGCATGCAAATGGAAGTAGATGAAACAAAATGAGATGCATCTAACAATATGACAACCAAGGTAAAAACAGACATTTCCAAAGTCACTGGTGAATAATTACCATCCTGTCAAAGGTCCTGCGTAAAAACATAAGAACTGCTATTTAGCAGGTCAGAACAAAGTAGCCCCACCTATGAAGATCCTGCAAAATGAGTAGGGCTTCAACATGGCCCCAGAATACATGGCCAGGTTCTTCACGCCCAGGAGCCCATTTTTTGCACTGCCAAGTAAATTACAGGTCAAAGTAGGCTAGTGGAGTCAAAAGCCTACAGTTTTCAGTAAAATCACACCCATAGAAATCAGGTTAGGAGATTGAGCAGTTCCCTGATACCCACTGCTGCTGCACCATGCCACCCACAGCTCACCCCCATTCTATTGCTCTCTCACCCCAGGAATCAAGGAGAAACAGGCCAACTGAATCCATTAACTTTATTGCATACATTTTACATAAGACAGATCCTTGCAGAGGTCACTGAAGAAGCCTGCAAAGCAAGGAGGACCAGGTCAGAAAAATCAGATGCACAAAACTGATGGCCTGTTAAAGCATGTCTTCAAAAAACACTGCTTCAGTAGAAGAGCCCTCTGCAGTCTATAAAGAATGCAGTTTGGGTGGCAGCTGGTGTTTCATCACTTCTTGAAGGTGAGAGAAGCCTTTACAAAAAGGAAGAGGGAAACAAGCACAGAAGCAGTTTTCCTGCCCCTCATGCCCCATATCCACTGCTGTTGAGTACCTTCAATTGGATTTAGAAATTGCAGGCTCTATGCAGGGTAGGGAATTAGGTTTTAATCCACTGTCTTGCCTGTATGCTTGCAGTCTCTTTTCAAGCAGTACAAATAGCAAGCATCTTTATCTAAAGGATGAGGGGTATAGCCAATCTAAATGGGGTGGAAGATGTTAAACTAGGAGGGATTTGCTTTGGGGTTTTGAGGAATCCATGGCACAGAGGAATGGTTACATCACCTTTATGCATCTTCTCCTCCAGCAGGGGCATCTCCTCCCTTTGTGTTTCTGGTGTAAATCACTTGTGCTCTATGCTTGGAGACGAGTTTGATCAAACCTGTCCAGAAGACAGAAATACAGTGAAGGAGATCAGAGAGGCCCTTGCAGGGCACAGGGCTTACCTGTGGCACACCTGCCAAAGCATCTGACCCCACTGCAGCAGAGCACATCCACGAGCAACACTGACTACAATGCCAGTTCCCCACCACACCATCCATTGTGCTGGCTGACTGCTCTGCCTCCCACCCCTTCTGTTGTAACCAGGCCCTAGGAAGCATTTTCCACACACGACTCATTACCGCAATTAGGCTGGAAACAGACACCTTCCCTTGATCTTTTATTTTGTGTTTTCAAGAGTGTAATGACTGGTTATGAATCCCTTTAAGTTTTTATATGCTCTACATTGAGAAAGATACCAGGTGAAACTCCTTAGATTATCAGCAAGGAAAGAAAGGAGTTTAGAGCTGTTTAAGCTCAAAAAGCTCTTTACTGAACTCCTGTGTACATGTAAGTTACCTCCAATTAGATGCGCATGAAATAATTCCCCAAATACCAAGAGCAAGAAAGGAACTTGAGTGGCTTAAGCATCTCTGAAGTCTCCCCTTGCAGAGTTCACTGCATTGGTACCTTTGCTGAGCAGCTCCTGGAGGGCAGCTCTAGCCAGAGAACCTCGAATCTTCAGCCTCTCCGAGACAACAGCAGGCGTGATGAGCTTGTAGTTGGGCACTTCTTTGCAGAGTTTATCATAAGTGGCTTTGTCAAACAAGACCAGATTATTCAACTTGTCTCTGACTTTCCCCTTGGACCACTTCTACTTGGAAGCAAAGATAAATTAGTCATTCACCCAAAGAGGAACATATCTACCCCTCATTATACCACTGCCAAATGCAGCAATTCTTGTCTCTCTGGTGGGAAGCTGGTTGCTCTGAACTGTAATGAGGCAGCTATTACCAGCCTGATCTGCCATCTGACCCACTAGCACCAGAGTCTCGCACACCCCTGCTGTGGCTGCAGATGGCACCGAGTCCGGAATACAAGACAGGAACCGCTGACACTCTCCCTCGGGGGCTACAAATTTCAACTAGGGACACCCCAAAAATAAGGAGCATCAGGACATCACACCTACCCGAGAACTGACATGCACGAGACTTCTCTCGTGTGCCTGTGGGCTTCACGTCGCAGGGCCGGGCCAAGCTCAGTGCCAGCTCTCCCCACGAGCCAGAGGCAAATGAAGCCCAACAGCTAGAAAAGGACTGGCGCTTAGCACGTGCGATCGCCCAGATGTCCCGACACCAATAGCTCTTGCATAGCAGGGCCCCCGGAAACACCCCCTGGCTGCCCCTCTCCAGGACACTCGGTGCCCAGGCTCGTCCCGGCCCCTCTCCGCGCCAAGAAGCGCTGTAGGCACCGGCCGCCCCGACGGCTCACAGGCCCGGCCCGGGCCGGTGCGGCCCATCGCAGCTCCGGGGGCGAGACGCGCAGACTGGGCCGAGGATCCCGGCCGGCGCACGCACCTTCTTCTTGGCCTTGCCGCCGGACTTATTGACCGGATCCTTGTCCTTTTTGGCGGACTTGCCCGCGTCCTTCTTCTTCTTGTCGTCCTTGGGCGGCTGCGGGGAGACGCGCGAGGCCGCGTGAGTGGGAGAGGGCGCGAGACGGGCGAGCGGCCCGCACCAGGACCCACGCCCGCGCCCCGCTCCTTACCATGGTGCTGCTTCTCCGCGGCGCGAGGCGAGAAAGGAAACAGCCCCCTCGCGCAGGCCGGGAAACCCCGTGCTCCGCACCGCTTCCGGGGCGGCCGCCAGAGCGCTTCCGGGTCCCGGCGCGCGACTACAATTCCCGCCATGCCGCGCGGCCCGACCGGAAGCCGCGCCCCCGCCGTGACGAAAGCCGGCTCTCTTCCGGTGTGTTCCGCGCGCGGCGGACGGCGGCCGACATGGCCATCTTCAGCGTGTACGTTGTGAACAAGGCGGGTGGCCTGGTCTACCAGCTGGACCACTACGCGCCGCGCGCTGAGGCCGAGAAGACGTTCGGGTTCCCGCTCGACCTGGCGCTCAAAGTGCACGACGAGCGCGTGGTCGTGGCCTTCGGGCAGCGCGACGGCATCCGCGGTGCGGGCCGGGCCGGGCAGGGCCGGGCCGGGCGGGGATGGACCGGGGATCGGGCCCTCGCTGACCACCCCTTCCCCCCCCCCGCAGTGGGCCACGCGGTGCTCGCAATCAACGGCGCGGACGTGAGCGGGCGCTTCACGGCGGACGGGCGGGACGTGCTGGAGCTGCTGAGCAACCCCGCACACTACCCGGTCTCCATCCGCTTCGGCCGCCCGCGCCTCTCGTCCAACGAGAAGCTCATGCTGGCCTCCATGTTCCACTCGTGAGTGTGGGGCGGGGGCGCCGCGCCGCGCCGCGCC